TTGTACACCAAATTAATAAGCTTTTTGTGCATATGGAACATTTCTGGGATCTTTTATTTCAGCTCATGAAACATGGGACATGTTGCGTTTATATTTTTGTTCAGTGTAGTTTCAATATCAGTAGTACTGCCACAGCAGCATAACAATTGATTAACACTTGATTTACATCGTCATCAGAGAGAGGCAGAAAGACACAGAGAGGAGCGGCTGCATCGACGACCCTCTGACTCAACTCCATCCCTTCTTAAGTGTGTTAGGGAAGAAGCAACACAGGTCATCTAGACTCTAGCTAACCACCATATACTAAAATATCCAAGCCAGCCAGCCATATATCATGAGCTAGAAGATTATGAAGTTATTATTTAAGAGCGTTGATGAATCACAATCAATCATTTACATTTTAGTCATTTAGCAGACGCTCTTATCCAGAGCGACTTACAGTTACTGAGTGCATACATTTTATTCATACTGGCCCCACGTGGGAATCGAACCCACAACCCTGGCGTTGCAAGCGCCATGCTCTACCAACTGAGCTATACGGGACTAGCAGATTTAAATCAATCATCAACATCAATGATCAGCTGACAGCCCACCCTCTTTTCTCGATGTCAATCCTAGTCCCTCACGGAGTGATGTCCACTGCGGTCACATGGGTCGTACTGGGGTACGGATGTAAAAATCCCTGAAAATCTGCCGTTGGTGCCCATTAAAATTAGCCCCAAGTTTGCCTTGTTAAATCTTGTTCATTTTCTTCAATTAAATACCATGACTGTGTTCTCATTAGCTGGGAATGTTGTTTGAAATGTCTGATACAACATACTTTCATGATATCATCATAAACCTACTGCATACTCCTTAGAAATATAGGTTTTTGTGTGCATGGTGTGCTATTAGCATGCTAACACTCATTAAGACAGACTGGTAGAATAGCTAGCATAGCTATAGCCATCGCTAGCATTCACTGGTTGAAGTTGAAGTAACTTTTGAATGTAATGGAGTTGACTAGTGACTATGGCATGAATATATATCATTCACAACATTTGTACGGGAGCTATAATCCAGTTATGATAGTTTTTTTTTAAATCTGTACCCCGCTCGTCCCCGCTTGGGTGAATTCCGTTGAATTCCGTTGGCCTCCCGAGTGGCGCAGTGGTCTAAGGCACTGCATCGCAGTCCTAGCTGTGCCACTAGAGATCCTGGTTCGAATCCAGGCTCTGCTGTAGCCGGCCGCAACCGGGAGACCAATGGGGCGGCGCACAATTGGCCCAGGGTAGGGGAGGGAATGGCAGGTAGGGAGGTAGCTCAGTTGATAGAGCATGGCGTTTGCAACGCCAGGGTTGTGGCTTCGTTTCCCACGGGGGGCCAGTATGAAAATAATAATGTATGCACTAACTGTTAGTCGCTCTGGATAAGAGTGTCAGCTGAATGATGTAAAACATAACTTTGCTGTGTGGGGCTATGTCTTTAGGAGGCACTGTAACTAGGTTTTTTCATTCTGAGCAACTTCCCCCTGAAAGGTCTGTACACTGCTCTGATACTACTATATTTTGAACAGAACCATTATGACACATTCCAAATCCCCAGTCCTTGAGGGGGCTGAGTACATGCACTTAGATACATGTTCTTACTGAAGGCAATCAGATCCACTCTTGGGATCTCCTCCAAAGGGTGGGGGTTTATCACAACCGTTTTCAGTGTTTTGGACTTGGATGATAATGGCTGCAGCCTTCACACCACCACTCATTAGAAACCTCAGACTTAGAGGATTACAGGCTTCCACCACATCCGTAACCACACCGACAAGAGACAGGGGGGGGGGGGGATGATGAATTCATCCATGGTCTTCAGTAGCATCTCAAACGATTACCTCAAAGTTCATGAGCCACTGAAAGCAGCATCAAGCTTGCAAACCTCTTAAATTTTGAAAAAGCATCTTCACTCTAACTATAATTCTGCTGATACTAAAAGGCAATATATCTGTTTTGCTTTGGCACTGGATTGTTGAAATGAGTCATCAAATAGATAATATGCAGCCTTCTTAAGCCTTTTAAAATGGTGGTAGGCTAATTATTTCTGAGGAAAAGGTTTGACCAGAAAGGCCACCTAGATAGATAAATCAGGATGGTAGAGATCTACTGGCCTGGCCAGCACAGGTAGGCTCTCTAACCAGAAGGCTCAGCTAATACTGATACTTAAAGCGTCACCAGCCAGCATATGATAAGTTATTTGATTACCCCTTATTTAACTTGCTTTCGTGGATGGACTGCTAACTTTAAAAAACCCAACTCATGAATAAAGCTGTCCGTACAATAATCAATTTTTCATATCTAATGGTCACAGACTATTTTACTGAAATAATGTGTCTAAGATTACAAATGAAAAGCACACAGGATCATTCTTTATCCTGCAGACAGATTAAATTCCAAACCCTGTTACTGTAATATGCACACTTGTAGCTCTCCATGAATTAGAACTGTAATTATATTAGGGACTATTTTAAACAAAATAACACGTTTCTCAGAATCCATAGGTGTAATTTATAGCAAAGCCAGGTTCATTTTCCAGAGTAATCCATTTCTTGGTGTAGTAGAGGACTAATGTAATTATGTAAAGAAGAGCTGAGAGCCAGGTATCACAGTCAGCACAGAAGGTTTGGAAGATAAATGAAGATGCAATTTATTCAGTCATAATTTCATACCGAAAACGCCATAAAGGAGATCCATATTGGCATCAGCAAAGGGAAAGGTACTTGTAATAGGAAGCATTATAGTCAAGGCAAGTGTTATATATTAAGGGTTATATGACTCCCATTCCTGCATTATCAGTAAGTCATTGTCCAGGTAACTGTGGAGGGGAAGAGCCTTTCCGTCAGGCACTTTAGATTAGTTAAATATAGCAATAGTTTATCATATCAGAACTATCAATTAAGAGACTCATACATAATAAATCTAATGTATAAACTTCTTATTAATAGTAAAAGATCAGTGGAAATGCATAGATTGCGTACTGCATTATTTGACAGTGATGTGTAAAGATGTCAATAAATGCTCATTGCAAACCTTGTCCAAAGCTGACATGAGAAAGAAGGATGTTTGCAGTATAGTTAAAAGATCTAACTGTAGGCTTTGGCCTGTTAACTATTAGTCTTCATTACTTGCATTTCTGACAACTACATCATGCTACAGAGTCAAAATGGTGGCTATGTGATCTTAAGATAAATTAATATGCACCCCAGCTCAAATCACACCAGTCATTTTTACATTACATACTGTGTTTCTTTTACCACAAAGGGGAAAGCAGTCAGTGCATTCCCACAATAAGTTTGATCATGCAAACAGTCCATTGTTGAGCAGCCTACAATCTTTTACCTCACCTAGGCCTTTGTGTCCCCGCATCCCAACACTAGATGAGTGAATATAACTCCTATGAAATCAAATTCTAGAATAGTTGCTGGGTGGTTATACAGTGCATTACTTTTCCATTCCTTGGTAGGCCTATGGTACAGATTAATTAATAATTTGTGAGCATGCACAAGGCCATTCATAGCCTTGGCTTGCACAGCAGGAAATAGGCTACAGCTTCGCGGTGGATTTTGATGAATTTACCAGAGTAAGGTAGACCTTTGACACACTGTTGCCTTCTTTTTATGTTTTATTTGTTTCTTTCTTTTCGTGTATGTTTTCTTTCTCCGTTTGCTCAGTTTGCAGAAGAAAAAGAATACTTATCTGACGTCATATCCATAGTCACTTGCTCCTCGTCGAGGCTGGACGAATTTATTAAACTCTCACATAACGTGTGTGTGCGCGCGCACGTGCTTGCGTGTGTTTTCATTGGGTTGGGTTGAACTTGTGGTGACCCAGTACCCCTAGCGAGTTCCCCACTGTTCGATCTACACAAGCTTCCTCCTGGAGGGCAACGGTCCTTCCGTTCCTCAAATGTGAGTACTGGATATCAAAGAGGGTAAATGTGGCTATGAAAAAACACCTGGGTTGCCGACCACTTTTCCCTCAGTGTTTGCATGTTAATTCTAGGTAGCTTTATCCTTACCACAACTCTAGTAATCAAAGACTTTAAAATACTTGATCTTGTACTGACAAGACTCAGAAGCTTTCATTGTAAAATAAAAGATGGGTAGGGGGTGTAGGACTAACGTTAGCCTTTAGTTGCAATGCGTTTGCCACACACACTCTGCGAATTTTGACACACACTGAACTTTGTTTGTAGTTGAAAATGGACAAAACATTTGTAAAATTGACATTCATGAAAGGTGTGTTTTCAATCTGAGACTAAATACAACATGATCAAATATGAGTTATATGTATTTTATTAATTGCTGTCACTCAAAATGGTATGACTGCAGTGACTCTTCAATGATGCTATCATACTCAACAATCGTATCTCTGAACCTGAGAGTTAGTGCATTCATCAGCAGACTGAATAACTATCCTGAGCACAACCTTACACCATGGCATTTAAATAAAACGATTTGGTTAATTCAGGGTAACAATGACATACAGTACATGGGTCGTAAAAAAGACAGTCATAGCTCATGATAGAAGTCTGAGAGTAGTTTGAGAATGATGTAAACTTAATTGACATTTTATAAACAATTTCATCCACTTCTAACACTTTGGAACTCCCCCCTCCAGACTTCTGATGACAACTTGATCTCATAAACCTAATGTTTACATAATAAGGCATTTGGTTTAATATTTGGTTAATTCAGTGTAACACTTTGATCAGTCATCAATAAGTAAGGCAATTATAGTTCAAGACACAAACAGTGGCCCTTGATTGAAACTTCACAAACAATTTCATCCACAACATTTTGGAACTTTCCCACAGTCAGATAACTAAACAAAAGGCACAGTGTTTATACTTAATATCATAAAATACATTAGTGCAATTAGTGACTGTATCCTATTTACAACAGATAACAAAAGCCAAAGGTGACAACTGAACTCCTGAGTAAACCACAGTGATGTGTTCAACCCCTCCAGTTATCGGCTGTGGGAGAGCTTGATTGGGGAGCAGGGAGGGGATGAAACTGGAGAGTTGAGTTCTGATGATGGGGACGAGTCCGAGTTCTTCGATATGGGAAGCACACACATCCCTGTAAGACCTTCTTTCTCTCTCTTCTTCTGTTTCATTCTTCTGTTTTGAAACCATATTTTCACCTGGGTTTCATTCAGGTGCACACTATGGGCTATCTCAACCCTTCTTGACCTGGTGAGATACTTGTTGAAATGAAATTCTTTTTCTAATTCTGTTAACTGCTTGGTTGTGAAATTTGTTCTTGGAATTGATCCGGCGTTCGATAATCCATATTCAATAGCTTTACCTGTAAAATAGTAAAATAATAATGTCAGGTCTGTGTCTTTATAGTCAGTTAAAGTTAATCAATGATATGTTTTATTTGTAATGTTCAATTATAGAGTAGCATTTACTTACTGATTTTGGGGTTGCTTCTTTTGACTTTCATCCAGTCAAATGTATTTGCCACAACTTGCGGCTCCTCTTGCCTAGGACCAGTTCTTGGACAATTCTCATGGGATGGTGATGAATTCTGATGACTGGCAGCAACGAATCCTCGCGATATCTTTATGCTCTGCCACTGCTGGTTTGTTTCTGTAATATCGTGGTAGTAGGTCTCTGTGGGATGGCTGGGGAAAGGACGGTTTCCTGAATATGCCGGGTTCATGCACTGGGTATGCACCCTGTTCTGTTCCACGTCGTTGTAGCATCCATACGCCAAATTATAAGCAAGTCCCTGATCCACGTAATTGCCATCAGATACAGATGCGTCGCTATCGCGTGGCACCTTAAACATACCTTGATGATGCACTCCTCCTGATATCGATCGACTGCTGCTCTGGTGGTCCAGCATACCTGACGAAAGTCTCCCAACTATCTCCCCGTGGTACTGAAGTGTCCCTGGTTTGTGTTCGTCGTGACAGAATTTCGCAGGCAATGCCATCATGTCGCCTTCGGAGTAGAAGTCTAAATACGAGCTCATGTTGTCCCTTGTAAATCGGCTTTGTAAATCCACCAGAGGTTAATGATTGCCAGCGCCCCTTGTCCTCATTAGTTAGCCTACTGTACTTCCTGGCCCAACATGTAAATATGACCCACTACTAAGCAGGCGTGGTCTGGGCCCGTTTTATCCAATCAGGGCCACAAAGTGGAGCACCCAAGTGAGCTGCATTTAACTTCCTTCCCTACGGACCGGCAAGGATGTGCATGAACTATAACTCCAAGTATTTTCCATATAACTGATGGATATATTGTGTATGTCACAACAATAATCATTGTTTGTGTTATAATATGTATATAAGCTCATGTTTATAGTTACTGTGAAGTAAACAGGAATGGGTTGGGGGTTAGACATCCAATGTTTTGTTATTGTAATCATTATTACCCGTTTTACTGTGTGAAAATGTAATAGTCGCGCTCGCATGCCTCTACCACCACTACTACTTGTAGGCCTACTACCATAAAGATAACAATAAACTATTACTACTAGGGCCTATACTACTAGTAATGCTAACAATAAACTATTACTACTAGGGCCTATACTACTAGTAATGATAACAATAGTGACAATATCATATTTGTTTATTTATAGGCCCATATAATATTTTTATGATACTTTGTTTTTATAAATATAAAACAACTCAACATTTCATACAGGAAATTTCTGAAAAAGAAAGCAATCAGACATAGGGAGGCAGTAAAATGTATATCTAGGAATTTTTTTAAATCATAAAAGTTATATTAAACAGGTTAACGTTGCCAGTATTTATGTGTCAAAACAAACTCTTTGACATATTATCATGTTCACAATAATTTTTTATTGTTTGAATACATGCCGAATTCCACACATACGTTTTCTGAAGTAGGCCTAGTGACCACAAAGCATGCACAGGCCTGCCCTGCAAATGCCGACAAGGGACTGAAATGATGGGGGTCCACGGATATATGACTAGCCATGCACATAACCCCCATTTTGATAGAATGAAACTTAGCTATGTATGTTCAAGTGATACTGTGCCGCCCAGATACGCACTATGTTGACAGCCAAGTACTCTAATGCCTCCTGAATAGTACAGTTTCTGTCAACAATATCAGATAGGCCTACCAAATACAATTTCGAGATATATGAGAATATATATGAGAACAGTCTAAAATAACATTGTAGGTCTTCTGTACAATAACTAATTTGAACATATTTGGACCATATGGACACATAGGCCTTTGTTTACAACCATGTGAGATGGGGACTGGCGGAACTACAGAGAAAGTTGCTCTTGGTTGATGCTGTAGCGTGACCTATGACAGGCTACACCTGCACACTCTACTGCACACTCCACTGTAACAATACATTCATTTCCCTCTACATTCCCTTTGTATTAGCTATAAGCTTCATAATAATCTTGCAATAATTAACTGAAGAGCATGCTTGAATGTCAAACATATTGTTGACTAAATAAAATATATGTGCAAACCATCCCAGCACCATTACGCATCATAAACCTACTAACGTTATGGCGCATGTGGGCAATCTGCTTCACATTTATGGTGTGTCCATGTCATATACAAAACGAAAATATCACTGAAGGAATCACAGGTGCCCAGTATCCTTTATGGAAGGATCAAACGTACATTTAATCTTAATTCACTCTTTGAATCCTTATTTGAATTTGCTTCCTTCTTTGGAGAGAGATTTATTTTTGGCTTTACCCAATTATAATAGCTCCAGCGATGGTTGGGTGCTGTGCGCATAGTCCATTATATCAAGGTATCAACGTCATCATTATCTGGAGGGAGAAAATGTATGAGGAAAGATGAAAGGACAAGCTCACCGAGGGTTAAAATGGCCGCCATTCACTGTGTCGAACAAGATGGTACTTCAGTGCCTCTGATGTAGGCCATACAATCACTGCAATTAAAAGGCTGAGATTCTATTTTACCATATTAGAAAAATGCCAATTGTTAATCATGTGCTATAAACAGCTTTCGCGAATTACTTTGGTTTAATTTCATTCAGACGTTGAATCAGTCTATAACGTTTTTTCTTATCTGAGGAATTGAATGCATTGAACCCATTTTCAGACCCACTTACTTTCTCTCGACGCCATCTAATGATACCTTCGGTGGCTCGTCCCTCTCGTCCCTCTCATTCCTTGATATTTATTAAGCCAGGTCTGTGTGCTCTTTGGACATCTACCAAAGTTTGGCCTCTCAGTTTGAAATGTGTTTCTAGAATTTGGAATGCAAATGCTTTGTTCACAAGGAGGGGGAATCAGTGTGGAGTCTGAAAGCGACGAGTTTTTGATTAATGAGCTTTGAAATGTCTTTCCAGGAGGAAGAAAGGGTGTGCGGCACTATGCTAGAGATGCCTAGCTCAACATAGGCTACCGCTGCCTGCGTCATTCCTTTGTCACTCACTAATGTTGAACAGACTATTGTAGAATATTAGGCCTATACTGTGGCCTATGTATTTTTCCAATTTACAAATATTTTGTTAAGCAAATATTTTCTTAGTGCTCTTCAAACGTAGAAGAACAGTCCAAGTGCTTTCTTTGGTTATAAGCCTATACAGTATGTGGACTTGTTTAGCCTATAGTTTCAAATAATGACATTTTGATAAAGGCAAATCCTTATATAAATGTTGAAAGTGTGGTCTGCTTCACGATAGACTGTGGTAATAAATCAGCAACTTTGAGATTAAATATACCTTTTGGAAACAAAAAATAATTAGAAAAGGCAAATTAATTAGACGTCCCTGTCAAAAATGGAGCTTACATTGTGAAGAATATGCTCTTCCTGCGCAATTTGACTTCAGGCTTAATAGGAGTGTCTGTGAGTCATGGAAAATGTGCATTTCTTCAGCACCAAGCAGAGACATACACGGTATCTGGTTTCTCTTTCGATTCAATTTCACTCTCTCCTCATATGTGAAAAATGGATAGTTTTTCCATATGTGTCTGATTTGAGCAAAGAGACATGCAATTTCTTTGTTTAGGCTATAAGCCCTCTATTTACTATGTAATTATACTTCAAAATGGTTACGTGGCAATTTCATATAGTCCCAAACAGCAAGTGGAAAGAATAGGTCTACATGTTCGTATTGTTTTCTCATGTTTCTACGTGTGTTATGTGTATGGACAATAACGGTGCTTTTAACCCATTTTGTAAATTTAAGCACTTTATTTACAAAATGTTAAACACAATAAAATATAACATTTTCATATCATTAGCGTTTCATAAATGTATGCATGGACAGTCCAACTGATGAAATAACAATGACGTGATATGAAAATTGGCAATGACAACAAATGACATGCTGGTGTGTTACATTTCTATAATATTCGGTATTTCAAAAGGCTACATATAACTTTGTTTTTCATAGAGGCATTGACACAAGATGAATCATGAAAAATGCCCCAATATTCCAAGATTTACACTTAGGAGTTTCTACTACAACAACATAAAACCACCAGCCACTGAAACCATATCTTAAAACTAGCATTCACCAACAACCTGTGTACCTATTGAAGAGCTATGATGTCAAAGTCTGTCCAACTATGTTGCATAAATTCTAGATGTCCATATAAATAGGCATATATGTAAATGATAAATAATGTGTGATACAAAAATCGTTAAATAATACATATCGTAAAGGAGATAAATGCAATACAATCTTGGAAAAATAAATAAGACGCTTCAAATTTAGAAAATTTGAAATTAACAAACAGACAGCTTAGAGTTTTTTTTCTATAAAATCCATCCCTATAAAGATGGGTGACTACTGTCAGATCTACAGGACTTACCTTCAAGTAATGTTATGACATTTTCAGTCCCCATACTGCGCATTGCACTTCAGAAAACGAACAACTGACAAACAAACGGCCTCCCCTGCGCATCCTCAACAGTCAAGAAAAATGTACCACAGCTATTCTTAGAAAATAATTACACAATAGCATTAATAGTAATATCAATAATAATACTGGGTAATACACATGACTCACTTGTAGTGTAATCATATAAATTACTTTAGACTAGTGAGGTAATAAAAGAGCGTAACATAATTTGGGCACACAGATGGAATCCTCACATATTACAAATGCGTTAGTTTAGGCGCTTCCTGAATCCTTCCCTGAGACGCATGATGAGAGGTGAGGTCTGTATATGTGGGATGGGGGTCACAGGGTCCATGGTGGTGGTTGCCTGGAATCTGAGCGGCACAGCTGTAGTCCACGCTGGCGGATGAGGGATGAGGGAGATGGCCGAGGTTGAACATGGGGCCCGAGGCTGGCATGGAATCAACGAAATTTCCCCCAACGTACACCGGACTGCCTTGCAAATTAGCGTTGGCAAAGCCACCATTGCCTTGCATGCTGTGGTGTTCGTATTCGGAGCCCGGATACCTTTTTTGTTGCGGTATGCAGCCACCTAATGGTGCCGTGTACGCAGCCAAGCCGTACATGTTTTGCTGGGGTTTGGCGAATGACGGGGGCGAGGGAGCATCATAGCTGAGGCTGTTTACATTTACAGAATATCCTATGTGATTTGGGCCACTTAACGGTGGGCTTCTGTCCGGGGAGTGTCCGATGGGAGAGTGCATTATCCCCTTAGCCTTCTGATCCTTTTTGTATTTCATCCTTCTGTTTTGAAACCAGATCTTTATTTGGCGCTCAGTGAGATTCAATAAATTAGCCATCTCCACTCTTCGGGGACGACACAGGTACCGGTTGAAATGGAACTCCTTCTCAAGTTCTACAAGTTGTGCACTGGTGTAGGCAGTTCGGACCCGTTTGGAGGCTGGACCAGGTGGGCTTTTTTCATCGCAGGACTCACCTGAAAATACATAGTAAACACCATAAGTCTCTTTATGTATTATGAATGATTTCACATAGGCCTACTCAGTTGCCTAAAATGACCCATGCGCACAGTAGAATAATCGCCATTTTACGCACGCATTACGCACCACCATGTCCAGAGGAATCATGCTGAAACACACACACACACACACACACACACATATACACACACACACACACACACACACACACGCACACTGTACCTTCTGCAGTTGTGCAATTGTTGCTGCTGTTGCTTTTCTGTTTGGCGTTCGATCGCGTCTCCTTCATCCATGGGAATATTTGCTTGTTAATGACTGGGGTGGCAGTATTAGAAGCATTGTTTGGAGGAGATTTCTTCTTCTGAGATGAAGTGTTGCTGGAGTTAGGGGAAGATGCCGACAATGGAGGTGCCTGCGGCTGTTCACCAATACTCGACTGTTGGCTGTTTCCTTGGCTGCTACTTGGTCGCATGCAGTTGCCATTCATGTCATTGTCTTTATGAGTTGGTGGCCGTACAGTTGTGGTTTGTATTGGACAAACTGGACCCTGATAATCACTCTCAAGGTTAGAAGTGGGGTAGGGCTGGTGAGTTGGGCCATACATATATGAGTCGGATTTGGGGTAAGAATAGCTTCCAAAAAGTCCAGAATTATCGTAGTATGTAGCTTTCTGCATTGTGAGGATTCAAACCAAGAAGGCCCTATCCAATGGCATGGGTGTTCTTGTATCACGTGATTGGAGTTTCCCACAGCCTCTGTATTCCTTGACCTACGAAGAGAAGAGTTGTTAGGCTCATTATGCAGGCAATATGAATTGAACGTGTACTAAACCCATGCTCAACCAGGATTGAGCATACACTGTACTTTGGGTTGAAAAATAACCTTCCATCAATAAAAAAAACAACATGAAACTATATGTCCTTTTCTGGTATTTTTTTTCGTTGGTTTCAATATAACTCAATTTTATCCATATTACAAACAAATACAATCATATTTGATTACGTGATCTATTATGAAAATAAAAAACTTTTACAAATGCTGTTTTGTAATAGTTGTAACTTCACTTTCCAAACTCTGCTTTCTTTAACTATCAAATCATCAGTAGGCCTTCTTAACCTCTCACTTTCGAACCCTTTGGCATGTTTGGCACAAAATAGTTAACGTTTAACTTTTGCCAAAAGATCAAAAGATCTTCTTGAATTACTTTAGAAAAGGAGCTGAATCAGCATTTGGTTACCCACACAATATCCCTTTCAGTAGCCTACCTAATCACAATACCCCACAAACCACCATCAGCTCTTACTTTCTTCCCTTTTTAACACACCAACATGTAATACGACTTCTCTCGATTTATTTGGAAATCATATTTATAAACGAAATCTCGCACTCCTGTGAGTTTTCTATTTTGAATGCCACTTTAGGAACCTTATTCAAAAAGCAATTATTAAACCATGAAATTATTTTAGAAAAGATTATCACAATGCACGTGTGCTAAGGGGGGTTATGATGCTAAAATAAGTGCCTTCCCCTCTCCCCGTTTCTCACCAAAATATTGGGGTGGTCGGAATGGGTGGGATCCCTATATGCTAATTTGTGCATATAGAACAAATGCATCGGTGTCAAAACTTTGCTCCTGAATTCTGGCACCCTCATGTAGTCTGTAATCAGTAAGCCTATATTTAGTCTGTAGTTAGCTATCTACCAGAGCCTAAACTACATATAAAAACTATTATTTTTCTCACTACTTTTGGAAACGATTTCACATTAAATTCTTGACATAAGTAACACATTGAATGGCCAAGGCATGCATGGAAAAAAACTAATAGCCTACAGTAGTTGAAGCAGCCTTCCCTGAATGTCCGCGCGGTGCATATCAATGCACCTGTCATTGTAGACCGCAGCAAAATTTATGACTGCAAATGTTATGGTTGTAAACGCCTTAGAGAGGAATGAAAAGAAAAACACTCCTCAAGACTTGCCACCCTCAGAAGTGTAAAACTAAGCGTAGGAGGAAGGCAAGCTAAAAAATGCCATACTCTGCAAGTTCTGCAGCAATAATAGAGAGGCCGTTTATATAAATCGAGCCTCTACAATCATTCTGCATTGCCGCTACTACACTCTCGCAAACGCACGTTTGAAACCGCAGAAAATGGAATCATTTTGTTTATAAAGAGGACCATCGTCATTGACGCAAAAGTGGACATATTCCTGTTTGAAATTCGTATTGAGGTGATGGGATGACTGGTGGAATTCTGTTTTGATTTGAAATGTTACTTCTGAATGTCCCACTGGGCAAAAACTGGTTGAATCAACGTTGTTTCCACGCTATTTCAACAAAAAAAATGTATATGTGATGACGTTGACTCAACGTGGAAAACTTATTGGAATAGAAAAAGCATAAGGGAATTTCGTATTTTTAAAAAAAAAAAAAAAAACTTTTAACCTAAATCCTATGACATGGAGACATTTTTTGTTGATTTCACATCTCAACCAAATGTAAATCCAAATTAAACGTTGAAATGACATCTGTGCCCAGTGGGGTATGTATCTTTCATAACCAACTAGTGTATGGATATGTTCCCTATGTTCTGCTTAAACAAATAAATGATGTTCTGTTGCAACTTGCATCTGGCCTTACTCTGCATTCTTGCATGTCAAGATGATGAACATTCTTCAATGTTTAAAGGATAAAGTGCATGTTTTAAACGAGCCTCTGCTAGACTTGGCTATATAGACCTACAGGGGAAACAGAAAATGCTAATCTGGAGAATTGAATTAAACAGTGCCATTTATAATCTAGATAATCTGTTTATCATTACTTTACTTTACCTATTGAAAACTGTTTTTGAGAAGAATAAAAAATGACAGGCATAGGCCTATATAGGCCTAAGCATTATCATTTGGTGCATTAATTTGCTTTCTTTCTATATTTGATGTATATATGTAACGGAAGTTCAATAAATAAATGCTGCTCACCGTATTTTATGCAGATATGTGTTGTATTTTTCTTCACGTGCTCATCATTACATCCACCTCGACCTGAAAGAGAAAACAATACATGGGTTTCACAAAACTGCTTTAGCGCCACCATTTCCTCATTTAATTGGAAGAACATTGGATTACTTTAGGGTAATCATTTCATATAACAAATTGCACCATTTCTATAGCTTAGATTTTCTGTTGAAATGCCATTGTAGGCCTACTGATTTTTTTTTTTTACAGTGAGAATTTGATGAAAGTAGCATCTAATATAGCACCATAATTAACTTATATGAACAAGTATATATTCTAATCATTATAAGAGCATATACGAGAAGAAATGAGACAATTCAGAAACCACAAATTCCAACACATTATTCTTTATTTTAAGACATTTAAACCGAACATGTAGTGCAGTGGTGGAGACGAAAAATCTTACACTGAAGATTCTAAACAAAGAAAGAGCTGGCCAAAATATTTAGCAGTCATAAGCCTTTTGGCTGACCTTTGGCTTGTTCAGCAATAACTCATAGATTAATGAACAACGAGCGGAAGGGGTTCAAGAAAGTCACAGTGAAATCCTAACCACAGAACTTTTCACCAGTTTTTTAAAGCTGAAACACTGCCTGACGATGGGACACATGGCCACATTTGAGGAGATAAACATCCGAAATAAGAAACTAGTCTGTAGGCTACTTGATGTAGGTTTGAACTCTGCTTTACTTAGCTATCTGTAGCCTTATAGAACATGATTGAGGATAGTGTCTCTCGGCAAATAGCTAATTTTATCATTTGACATATAGCCTAGCGTGTTTTAGAAATGTGCAGAACTCCGAAATTATGTTGAAGTCGAAGTCGATATGTTTTGAGTGGATTTGAAAGTGTATTGTTACCACATGTTGTTACTGCTCTGGCTAGACATGACCGTCTTTTCAGACAACAATGTTTCTCGCCTACGCATTGCTACGGTAAGTTTAGTATATACAATGTCTGCTTATATTTCATCGTTTTCTTTGTGTCCATTATGCGCTTTGGATAGAAAGTTGACCTAAAAGTTGTATTTTATTTCTAACGTTTACTCTGGAAATCGAAAAGAACCAATAATATCTCTTTTGCGCATCCCTGAGCTGGGAAGCATGAGAGGATATAATTAACTAATTGTTCATACTTAAACATTTGTATAAAGCTAAGGCCTATAGCTTTTAGAAGCTTGTTAATTTGGCAAAATTTATGACGAATTTTTGGATAAATCCTCCGAATTATTGGATGTGTTGTTTTTGTTGTTGTAATTTTATTCTCATCGCTAGTTTGGCAGCTCGTTATAGCTTCCAGACATTTTTCCATTAAAATATGTTGTCACTAGACGCACATTCTAAACTAAGCATACTTCGCAAATATTTACTTGGAATACATTTGTTTAAATTCAGTATTTGTCAGCCAGTCATATTTCGTTATCAAAGCGCAGTATAGTCAGACAATAGTGAATTAAAATCATTCATAATGACTTGAAAATATATTACAGTCAATAACATAAAAGGACAAATCATCCTGAGCATTATTAGAACAATAGCCTATTGTTTAGACCTGTTCTTAATTAATATTTGATTCCCATAGGCCTATAAAAAAACATTTGAGATTCAGAATTATCCATTAACTTCACAAAGGAATCATGTAGCCTAAGTAAAAATGAGTGCAGAACATCAACTGAAAGTGTTTCATATAGCCCCCCAAAATAGGCTATATCTATTTATGTATTTCTTATTTATAAATGGAGAAATCCTGAAAGTATTTCTCAAATACAAATTAAAACTATTGAATCCATTCAAAATATTATAACATTTGCAGGTTAACAAAGCCATATAGTTGAAACCACATAAATCATGTCTAACATCACTGTGACGATAAGACAACAAATGAATGTGATTTACGATCTAACAACCTAGGAGTCAGAATGAAAAGTTCCTCTGCTTCTTATCCCTTTTCTTTTGGTCAGTTTTCATCAAACTGCAAAATCAGCTGAAAACCAATTGTCAAAATACATCTGTCCAAACTAACCTTTCAAAGTGGTTCCTCAAAATTGTGAACCTGTCTTAAAATCGTATCTAAGGTCCATAAGACTTAAGCTATCCGCGTAGTTACCGACAAGAGCGACATTAATAAAGATCACCTCCTTTGAATGGAATAAATCATATTTATTCTCTAGCATTATGTAAAGCCTTGTTTAAAGGTTGCATTTTGCCGTACAATTGCTTACCTGTGAGTCAATTTATCATATACTCGTCCTTCTTAGTCTCAATTCCTTTCCCTGCAGTCTCTAGAATATATCCTTCACCCTTTGTCTGTAGACAATACTGTCCTAAACCTGATCTTGCGGTTTTTCAGACATTTCCATATACCAATGCAGACAGTATTCCCGATAGAATGGAAAGACTCACGTTCAACTACCAATAAAAAACGAAGAAGGGATCCTTATTCCACCCAAAAAAATGTGGCAATCATCTCCCATTGAAAAATACAGGTTTTCAGACACAGTCACCGAAATGAAGCTAACATTAAGATTTTTGGTGTTTCAGAAACCTTTATAATGACAAATAAAGGCACTGCCTTAAAATACAAGCATATTTGTTCACGTGATCGAGATGTTCTGATTGAGGCTGCTTCTACAACCAAGCCTTAACTCACAAATCTGTTTTTAAAAGGGATGGCGTTTACATTTCTTTATCTGACCTGTGTCCATAGTGAAAATGCTCAACTTGCGATATGATTTCATTCTGGTGATGATTTTTTCCTCTTCTTTCCATTGTAGAAATATAATTTGATTTATTATTCGGTCAGGTTGCAGGCATACTATGCCAATATAATGACACTGGTGGCGATTTGGTCATCTTTAAGAGATAATACATACATTTTGTGTATTTGATGTTTACCTGGTTATATAGGCCTCATACAGTATTTTGATAATATTCGATTTCTCATCAAACACTACAGTTGAAAGAGAAATGAATTACTAAAAATACAACCTTTATTAGAACCCTTTCCCTAATGGAGTTTTGAGAATTCTATTCAAATGTAGGGTTCTGAACATAGTTTCTGATACAGCATTGTACATTTGGCTGTGTACTTATATGCATTATTGGCACTTGAAACTATCAACATATTGTTATCACAATTGTTCAAAAACAATTTCTACAATATTATACTGGGTTGAGTGAGATGTGCATTTTAGAATGTTATGAAATCTATTGACCAATATTAATGCATGGGAAAAAGCCTATGGAATTGTATACAAATAAACCAATTTGGAAACCCTCTTGTCTGCTGTGCTATTTCTCATGGTGTTCGGCCGTACGGTAGCCTACTTTTGAGCATCAACACAAGCAACGAATGTAATATTTTCTGTTTCAGCCACTGTTTTCGATGTAAATAACAAAACACTTTCAAAGGACAATTTGTGAGCTCAAAAATCAATTGGAAGATAGAGATTTAAGGCCGTAAAAGATAGCGGGGAAGCTTGCCGAGAGGCAGGCCTATCTTGTACTGAGGAAAGGATGCAGGACTACTAGCGTCGCAGCATATGTTCATGGGGTAATAAAAGTGAAAGATTTACAGTGTTCGCCCGGCCCCCCAACAGCCTCGCACCCTTTCAGGAATTACTGAGAATGATTTACAACGAGGCCGATAACTGTCAACCTGCTCAAACACTACTTTTACTACTCTCAGAAATACATTTCGAATTATGCCCCATCAACAATCTAAACAATGTTAGCAATGGGGCGTCATCTGAGTTCAATCCAAAGATGTATATTCTTACAACGATTCCGATTTTTGTTTTTGCCATCACGCAGGTAGCTGGAGTGTTATCCAAAGAATAGTCTAATATAAGCTTTTGTATTATAACATATTGCACTTGTACCACTTTGAAATGTTTTTCATCTTAACACTCTGTTTACATTTTGTAACAGGCAATTTGGTGTAAACCAATTACTGAATTGCTCTCTTTGGTGATATTATAAAGCACAGAGGCCCTAACATACAGCCCTCAAGAACGAACTAGAACTGCCCAACAGCGCTGCATTCATTCTGCCCACACATTCATAATCACAACCATTTCACACAGTAAAGGTGGCTGAAAATCTTTCGATTTTGTACTTACTTGCTATGAAACATAACACGGACGCTAGTTGTAAAATATTACCACTTTATAATATCGACATTGTCCTCTTGGTCTATTTCTTCATAAAAAGCACAGCATTGAAGAACCCATAACAAGTTCAGCCTGTCCAAGGCGCACTCATCAAAGGGCGCTATTTATCAAATATCTGACAGATATGGTCATTTACCATCTTACTCAAAAAAATATTTTAAAATATTTACCTACCAAGCTTCCATTGGTTGAGAGGCTGTGCTAAAGTGCTGGTTACAGTTGCGTTGGGTATCGGAGCGTTTGGATATTATTTTCTTGGGATCTCTTCAGTTTTCAAGTCTGATAGAGTCCTCGCGATTAATGACGACGCCGTGTTTCTAGGGGACGTGCTGCATTAATTATTTAGACAATCACGTGGTCAAAAATAGAGAGAGGAGCGGTATAGACTCCGAATTATATATTTGAATGCAGACAGCACAGTTTAATATATCTTAAGGGGCTGTCTCGCTTGGCAAAGACAGTTTCTGCGAACAGCAGGAAATCAAATATGGCCGTTTGAAAGCCATTGTGAGCGCGGAGTTGGTGTATACCATATTCGGTGCAGTGTCATTGAAAATGGCACTGCTTATGGCTCTCATTTATTGTGTTCAGACATGTAGGTCAATGCACACTGCACATTGGAGGGCAGGTACTGACATATGACTGCTTTTCTTAAACTGTGTTACATAAAAGGCATTTTATGATTATTCCCATGGTCGTTTCAGTGAACAAGAGCGACAATTTACATGTTTACATGCCTCATAAGTCCACTGTGGAAAAGAAACATAAAAATATAATATTCAGCAATCCATTGTGATAGTCTTGGAAATGCACACGTACAACAACATGGGTTGCATGTAGAACTGTTGTTTAGCCTATGGTTAGGCTACATAAGGATTTTTTTGTCAGAGTGAACTTGGTGCAGTTTTCTTTCTTTTGCAATGACATCATCATGCTTGTACACTGAAATCTATGTAGTGGCAAACTGAAGATGAATAGGCTTCAGTGTAACGGCCTGATGAAAGTGACACAAGGCTTCCCCAGCTAAGCTTATAAAGGAGTGCGCGCAAATGTGAGGACACACGCACGCCCGTGCACGCATGCACGTACACGCACACACACACACACACACACACACACACACACACACACAGAGAGAGAGAGAAACAGACACACAAACACATACACACAAAGAGAAACAGATAAGCACTCAAATGAAACAAGTTTTAATCCAAGCATGAAAATGTGATCTGATCACAAATATAATCCCATTGATCCTACATTCATAAAACCTATGGCACTGACACTAACATTGGTGTGGGTTAGGGGGACATGAATGATTCTTGCTATAAAATGTAACTTACCGCCCATTGAAACACATTATGTGAGTCAACTATGCCATAATTTTTTCAAACAAGCACAATTAAGTAAAACGTCACCTGCGAGATGTGTGGTCGAACCAAACCGATAGGCTAAATCCTAACTTGAGGTATCGACGCGTAGCCTTTGCGTAAATAAGTCCACTGTGGAAAATCATGGCTTGATGTCAATGAGAGACATGCATAAAGTTCGAGCTATGCGGGTGTATCTCAGGTAAGGCTCTATTCCATGTAATAATATAATATGCCATTTAGCAGACGCTTTTATCCAAAGCGACTTACAGTCATGCGTGCATACATTTTTTTGTGTATTGGTGGTCCCGGGGATCGAACCCACTACCTTGGCGTTACAAGCGCCGTGCTCTACCAGCTGAGCTACAGAGGACCATGTCTTTTATGCTTTGATATGGAACCCAAATGTTACAGAATGCCTCATTTTAGTATTATGGAAATGTATTGGGGGTATCTGATATTTCACGATCACGAAAGCCACACAAGAACTGGGAAAGACAGCGGTGTGTGTGTGTGCACATTGATTAACCATTCTATCTGCTAAATGGCCCAGCATGCATCTCTGAATACTTGATAAAGAAATCTATTGACAAACGTGAGTGCTCTGTGCCACCATAATGCATATCAAGTAACAATCTTTATTTTTCCACTAAAGTTTTGCATGACACCTGGGAATGTACAGAATAAAAAGCAGGTACAAAAATAAAGTCAGACAGGATTGCATATTAACATGGTGAGACATGAATATACAATCAGTACCATTTGAGGTGCATCTGGCAGAATAAAAATGGGCTTTAAAACGTTAGCCTACATGTTTAACCAAGTTATATAAGCGTTCCATATTCTATAGCAAACCAATACTAAGGTAGAATAGAAAAAGTATCTGAATGAAACTCAATGCGAATAGCGCCTGTGAGAGAAAAAGGCTGTATAGGTCCGACGGGTCAAGGGTTTAGAGGTCACTCCTCGCGGCTGAAATGTGTCTAAGGCGATAGAAACAGTGTCCTCTGGATGAACCTGCCTCTGGAGCTTTGTCGACCTTCAGTTGAAATACCTTTTCTACTTCTCATCATGAAGACTTCAGAGGGAAGACATCTTCGCAGTACAAGAGGTTATGATTATTTTTGTCACGAGGACAATGATTGGAATAATACAAGAATATCTGTCTTGAAACATAACATGAATGCCTGTGTGGCTTGGTTTGGTATAAATTAATGCCATAGTTAGATTTTAACACCAGCTAAGCGCATTAATTAAACGATTTTACATTGCATAACAAAAGAGACAATTCTAATAATCCACAACCGTTTTAAACATATCTCATTAAATAAACGTTCGTTTCTCAAATATGTTTAGAACTGTTGTGGGTTTTCGGAAATGTACAAATATTTAATTAAATAAATAATCATAATGCAATTTAAACACTCTATATTACAAATTTAGTATAATAAAAATGGGGAAAACATATTACACATATTTATATTCCTCAACGTCCTTAACATTGAATAGATACTTTTAATAGTGTTCTGTTTGATATTCATCAAAATAAAAATAGTGAAGCATCTTAAAAAATATAAATTCGATGCAAAGAACAAGGGAACTCATGAAAGAGTTTCAGATGCCATATGGGAGACCCTCTTTAAATGTACAATGTTTACAAAGATGTCAAGAGAGATTTATAACCAAATAAGGGCACTGGGAAAGGTCTGCACACAGGAATGTCTTGTTTCTGAATAGAATTTAACGCCATTTTAAAAGCTTTATTGTATAAAAGTTCAGAAAACGTAAACAGAAAAATTCAACCAGTTAGCACCCATAAATATGAGTTCACTACTTTCTTTAAGCTAGGCTATATAAAAGTAATGAATATTGTCACAAATGTATGGATCAACTGATGCTTTGTGTGCAATGGCCATTTTATTTTTAGCAATATATGCATCAAATATTGTTCGTTTTAAAAGTTTGATTTCATCACAAGACAATTTCTAATTAAAGTGTACAAAAACTTCATTTTACGTTTTTTTCCCCCTTTTAAATAAAGATATAAATGTTCAGGCAGTACTCTGACTTTTGTGGTAAGAAGAGAATCATAGCAAGCAAGAAGAGTAGGCCTACCATAAGAAAAACATCTTTAACAAGCTTTCATCCGAAAGCGAAAGTTTTCGTTTGATCTACTGCTACCTCTTTGAAGCATGTGAAGCATTTAGTGATGCACTCATATCTTCTGAGCACCTATCAGTTACAATGTTGGAAATTGACTCAATTCAGCGAGCCAACACACATCGAGGGTCCTTCTGAATGGAACTGCCATGTGTAACTTTTTCACGTTAAACGACTATGACCAGAATGCCATGTTTTGAGATCATGCAAAGTCAAATGGGAAATCGTTTTTTATAGGCCTACAGTTCATGTAAGATTCAAAGTTTCCCATCGTATTCATAAAGTTGTGATATCAGTCTGGTTATCCTTTTGAATACTTTGTAAATCTTGACTGGGTGCCGATGCAGATCTCCCCTTTGTGTTCGGTAGTTTGTGGTCTTTTTTCCATTTCATTCTTCTGTTTTGAAACCAGATTTTGATCTGACGCTCGGAGAGAACGAGTGTATGGGCAATCTCTATGCGACGCCGCCTGGTCAGATACCTGTTAAAATGAAATTCCTTTTCCAGTTCCAAAACCTGCTGTCTTGTATAAGCTGTCCGAGACCGTTTCGGTTCAGGTCCTGTGTAGTCCGGGTTTACTGTGAGAAACAAAACACCAATGTGAACCAATTAGGTCCCAGTTAACAAAAACAACAGCCCTTCACCGGACGCTCCAAACTTCTAGCTAAAAACAAAACAATGAAAATCCTGATCCAGAAATGAAATTTGACCAAACTATGACCAAACTTTCATGCAATTTGGTCTATTTTCACCCTCTTCATAGGAAATATTGTCGACACACAATAAAATAAAACATAGTCATAAGGCAAGTGGACATTTCAAGAGCTCTGAGACGGTCACATAGGCAGCGGCCTATTTCCTTAGCAATAAAAATTTATGGCTGGTGTAATTGACCGCCCCTTCAAAGCAACCCATAAATATTTCACACAATGATTTTAAAGTGGCTAAATTCCTGGACCTCAACTTGTCCCAAAGAGACGTGGAGAGGATAGAGTCAATCTTACCCGTAGTAACGTGGTGTTTCTTCATCCAGGGGTAAACTACTGTAGGCTGCTTGGCTTGTATCCCATTTTGGTTCTTTGTGTTTTGTTGCTGTCCACAAGTCCGGGGGCCAGTCACTTGGACCGGGGGACACGGCTCGGTCTGGGCGGTGAAAGGGCTAGGGTGGCTGACTCGCTCATGCACATGACCCCGCGGCTGCACTGTAGAACCCTGCACAGTGGTACAACTGAAGGGCTGCTCGGTGTAGTTTGACCGTGGATAGATTCCTGGATGCTGGAAATCTGGGTCCTGCGCTGGACCGTAGTAGTCTGTCCCCTGGTCAGGTATATAGCTATTTTGCGAATATTCCTCACAAGGAGGAAATTGTGGGTCCACATACTTAGAGTCCACCATAAACGAACTCATGGTCATTAATTTCTGAAGGTAGAAAATACAAATTTTTCTCGAGTTGTCTTTTTTTCCACCCTCCATAAAGCCCTCCTACTTGCTGTCAACTGAATAAAGTTAGGGAACCATGTGACCAGATTGGCCAATGGAGGTAAAGCTAGTCCATTAACGGGTATACACTGCACACCTATAGCAGCAATTTCCACTAATAAAAAAAAAAACCGCAATTATTTTGGATAAAAACAAATATTTAACCAGTTGCAATTCAGGATTGGCAATGTACGCACTATATTGAAAAATAAGATGTTAAATGTAAAATTGTATTTACCTAATGTCAACAGCTTAATTTCAACTGTGGTCATCCCTAACAGTCAATGGGAAATAATCTGAATGGATTAAATATAGATGGTTTTGTGCAATAGTATGGTTAATATGCTTAATGTTCTACAATACTAAATCAAACTAAAGCCCGTGAGTCTGACAGATAAACAAACAAAAGATACAAACGTCCCCCTGGCACAAAAAGACGGGAATAAAGCCTGGGGACAATTGATGGGGACTGTCTTTGTCAAGAAGGGGTCATCCAAAAGTTACAAGAATCTCATCATTTCATCTACCCTATCCCTTTCAAAACTATTGAAAGAGCCTCGTGGCAACCAACCAATGCCAAACACTCAATAATTCAATGATTGAAATGTTAAAACGAATGAAAACGTAAGAAAATGCATTACTTTGATGCCATGTTAAAATCTGTTTACATTTCAGTCTCCAATGATAACTTTTGTTATGGCAAGTTACTTAATGTTCACTATCAAAACGAAAAGGACTGTTTGGCTGTAATGATATGTGTACAGGCCAAGAAGTGACACGCGTAAAAAGGCTTCTTATGAGCATGACTAGGCCGATGTCTTTGTATCAACGTAAATCACCAAATTAAATGACAAGTGACACTGAAAGAGCATATAACTCAAACATTTACTTTCAATATTAGAACAGATTCTACTCAATAAAATATATAAAATATCATTCTAAATAATCGTTAGACTCAATAGCTGGCACAATACAGCAATCAAACGATGTGCACTCCATCATCCAATGTTATAAATTGTTTTGATTTTTTTTTTTATATATAAAAGTATGTAAGTAAATCGATGTTTTTGCATCGACCATATACTCCCCTAGAATCGAATCTGTGACTGTTGTTTTATCACACAAATTCGGTTCTACAGGGTATATATAGACGACGGAATACAGGGGTCCCATCATTTCTCTCAATTCAAGAGTCCAGCCATTAGATTCAGTTCTCAAAAAGACAAATAAAAAGCCTATTCATACTCCATACACTCTTATACCGTCGACAATTGTAAACAATGGAAGTGTATGAACATTCAAAATAAGTTTCGATAACTTCCATCCAATCATAGCCCCTGATTAATCAGATATTGGTAAGTCCTAAGTAGTTCACCAGTAAGATGAGCAATTCTGTTCCAGCTTCGAAATGCATTTTTTTAAAGTCAACCGGCTAGGCCTATTGGCTAGAGGTATAGGCAAACAACATAGGTCATTCACAATTAATTGGTATAGACTACCAATACTCACTTTAGAGGGATTCCATGTAAAAATAAAAAATAAAGTTAACCAGCCTGCGCTCTACCCACTGTCCGAGACTTGACTATCGAGTGGACCCATAAGGAAAAAGGCTAACGGCCACGAGGTCAACCTAAATCATTTGCAAACATATCAAAAAGTTCAATTATTTTGACTTTAGTGACAGCTCAAAGAATACAAAAGTTCACGAATCCCAAATGAGCCTTCAGTTGACTACCTCCGTTGGTCTAAGGTCTTGGGAACATGCCACTGTGGAAATGTCCTATAATAACATACATTTTTGAATTACATAAATGATTTAAATAAAATGAAATGATTCGTTTTAATACACTTGATTGGCCAAGTGCTTTCTAAATTTGACTGAGTATTCACATAGGCCTTACATAGTAAGATTCCCGAAGATGTAGTATCCTTAAATTATTCTCTCCAAATTATAGGCTAGGCCGACTTCATGTTTTGTTACTAGACAGTTTCAGTAGTCTAATTTCGGTAGTCTAATTCTAGTAGTTTAAGAATAAAGGCTTTGGCCGAAAGTTTCACAACACTTGTTCTACAACGTTTTCAAAAGTAAAGTTGGCCACTTTAGAAGCATATACGTTGAGATAGTTAAAGGTATTCATCCCGTTTTCTACTTCTCTTATTGGAAAATATGAATCACATTCTTTACACCTTTGTAATTACATGTCACAACATTTCAATATTTGCTGGACAGCTTGACCTAGGATTCACCTTGCCCTGAGACTTGTTCAGACAACTGCTCGGTCAAAGCCGAGATAGGATACCGGGGAACAAAAGAACGCTAAAGTCAGCACTTGTCTTTATCCTTCGTTTGAACCAAGAATGAACCAACTTGCTATGTTTTCTGATCTATTTAGAGTTATTTTATTATACAACTGTTAATAGGTCATTGTTCCGATTTCAAGTAGCTATGTCACTAAAGCCAGATCTTGTGCCAAAACAATAATCGACAATTATGGATTCAAGTTACATAAAACATTTGTATTTCTTCTGAAATCTTATTTGTGGGCTATTAATTATAAATAAAGGGACAATAAAGCTACTATTTTAAACATGCCATCATAGACTACTGAAATTATTTCAGAAATGCAATTCTCAATTCAATAAAAATACAACCTCAATATAATGTAGCCTGTCAATCGTAGGCCTATTAAAGCCATTGTCAGTGCATTGAACTTCGAAATACACTAATGGTCAAAGTGGCAGACAGGCTGGAGAAAAACAATACAAAGTTTCCTTTACATTGCTAAAAGAAAGGAAAAAATAAAAAATGAGGCCTATGCCTACTGTAGTGTAGTCCTTTATAACACAATTCTGATTCGTGCATGTTGTCCTTACCTCATGTTGCCTCATGTAAATGTGTTTGTATTGGATAACAAACTAAATAATCTACATCACTTCCAATGTCACCACTTCACTTCCTACATAACATCACAATGTAGGCCTATAAAAAACACCCTGATATGGGTAAATTGACGATAGTACAAGGAATTATGATTCGATAATATTCTGTAGGCTACTAGGGGGCGCGATAGAGCATGGCTATTTTTAAGATATTGTTGGGGTATTAAGATTCAAAAGGACTGATGTGTATTTAACTTAATTAATACATTGTTAGAACAAGGCCTATGTCACCAAAACGTAATTTAAGGAAATGCTAATAGCTGTAAACGCCATTGAGTCTGTGACAACAGGTTGATATTTTCCCTCCGAATTCAAAACTTGCCAGCCCATAGACTTCAGATCCCCACAAGCCTATTAGCCATTGTCATTCAAATATGTGCGTATTGCAGGCAAATAAAAAGGTTACAGATTTTAATAAACCATCACGCAATATTTGTCGATTTGAAGCAAAAACGAATATGCCTATAGGCTACAATATTAGGCTATCAGCCATTTTCCAAAATGCATTGTTTCTCTAACGACTGATTTGAACGATTATTGGTTATATCAGCAAAGTATTGACATATTCAAACACTTCCTAACTCTTTCCCGTACATCCTGACCAATGCAAAATACACAGCCTACTCTGGTTAAAGTCCTGTATTTCGGAACAGACAAACAAAACTGCAGGAGACAGACATGTATACCTGATGACATCAGCATGCGCACGCACTAGTTTTAGTAGCCTATCAAATGATAAAACAGAGCTCACCGCAAAGACCAACGCATTGCATCGGATAGACAAACATATCCATGTTCAGACAAAACCAGAGGTTTATACTTGCTTCCACCAATTCGAAGGTCTATTCCAAGCCATCTGCACGGCCTTACTAATACACAATGAGGATTATATTTTGGCTTGTCAACTCCCAGGCCATAAAACAAAGTTTAATGGCATCACGTGCTCCCCCACAGCCATTCATGACACCGCACTGGTGCCATAAATAACCCTCAAAGTTGCACTTATTCAATAACGCCGATTAGCTTGATGCCATATAAAATAAAAAGGATGTGTAATTATAATACACTTTATGCAATAGAAAAAAATAAGAATATATCGGTTTTTTTTTGTTCAAGTTCACCTTGATATGGAATTTAATCTGCGTCTTTGATATGAATATGTATTTTTAGGTTAATATAAGACATTTCAAAAGTATAACAAAGTAATCTGCTCTCTAGTTAGGTTCAACATTATTGCCACCCTTAATAAAGATTAGCAAAAATGACTGTATAAAATAAATAATACAAATACTGAGCTATATTATATGATCAAAACGATGGAGAAATTATATTATTTTATACTAATACAATTGCTCAGAGAAAGATATTTTGTTCAACGAGTAATACTTTTTTTTTATATATAGGGGTCAAAATTGTTGGCACCGCTGTTTTCAATAACTTTCAATAGCCTACCTCACTCACTTTGCAATGATAATGCATTGAGCCTTTTTCTAAAATCTTTTATGAGATTGGAGAACACATTGGGAGTCATCTTAGACAATTCCTCCATACAGAATCTTTCCAGATCCTTGATATCATTCGTCTGCACTTATGGACTGCCCTCTTCAATTTAAGCCGCAGGTTTTCAATGGGGTTCAAGTCCAGAGACTGAGATGGCCATTGCAAAATATTGATTTTGTGATCAATTTACCATTTCTTTGTGGATTTTGATGTGTACTTGGGGTTATTGTCTTGCTGGAAGATCCACTTGTGATCACGTTTCAGCCTCCTGGCAGAGGCAACCAGGTTTTGGGCTAAAATGTCCATGTACTGGGTAAAGTTCATGATGCGGTTGATCTTAACAAGGGCCCCAGGACCAGTGGAAGCAAAATAGCCCCATAACATCAAAGATCCACCACCATATTTTACAGTAGGTATGAGGTTCATTTCTGCTTATGCATCCTTATTTAGACGCCAAACCGACCACTGGTGTGTGTGGCCAAAGAGCTCTATTTTCATATCATCTGACCATAGCACCTGTTCGAATCCAGGTGCCAATGCTGTTTAGCAAACTC